AATAAAAAATTATATTATTCTAAATATAGAATATTCTTAAGTATTATATTAATTTTTATAAATTCTTTAGTATATTTTTTAATATAATACATGTCAAAATTGTATAAAATAATATTCAAGTATTTAACATAAGAGAAATTAATAGAATATAAGGACATTGTGAAATAAAACACAAAACAATTAAATAATAATTTGACTATATTATGTATAATATTTAAAATATATAAATTTAGTGAGCCGAGAGAAATTAGTGTGTTGTTTTGAAGCGAGACAATATAAATATTAATATAATTTTTTAAAATTTATAGTTAAGCGGGCCTAACGGACTATCCGGAGTCTATACAGGTTAGTCGTAATGGGTAGCGGCCTTTTTAGGATCGAGCTAAAAAAGTCGAGAATTTAACTTGTCACACCCACACTTATACCTGACACCCCCCCTCCCCCCATTTTTTGGCACTTTTACGTTAATGCCCTAACATGAATACTAGATTTTTTTTAATTTATAGGTATATACCAGAAATTTCGTAAACCATTGGAAATTTCATTTAATTTACTGATTTTTAGCATGGGGGATACCAGAATTTTAAAATTTCTGATATCTTAAATTCCAAATTTTCGATGAGTAGTTACAGTATACCGAAAATTTTGAAATTTCCGATAACACTGCAGTTTATTTTTCCCCCTTTTTCTTGGAAAATAGAATCGGTAAAATAGCTACTCGACTTTATATATATATATATATATATATATATATATATATATATATATATATATATATATATATATATATATATATATATATATATATATATATATATATATATAAAATAAATGTCATACATATATGCACAAAAAACAAACTACAATGACTTGCTACACAGATTTCTCCAGTTTCTAAAGCGACCCGCATATGCTGATTCTCATGCTTTTCCATCATCAGTATAATTCTGTCTCCAACAGTTAGTGACAGGAGGCAATGAACAATCATATTTCAACTTTACCTGAACTCAATAATTGTAATTGATAAAACCAACAACAATGATTATATGCCTACTCGTATAAATGGGTGGAGCTATGATAAGGGGAAAAAGTGATGTTAAGCGTCATGGAAAGGGAAAAAAATACGACACTATATCTAGAAGCAATAGGGTAACCCATATCAGGAATCATCATCCATTTATCCTACCCTGCACACCCAAGTGTTCTACTCGTAACAAATTCATAATTATATAGACAGTGTCATAGAACAAGTTGGAAAACAATTGAGAATGTTGATGAACTTTAGAATCTAACTTCATCTGAATCAAAGATCATAACTCTTTGTCCCATCCTAATAAAGATGAAATACAATGGAAACCATAATTTCCATCATTATCAACATCAATAATGTCATCGATGTATGGATAAAAGAAAGCAAGAAACAATGACAAGTAAAGATCTCTTAAAAATTTGGTGGACGGTTGGAAACCAATCAACATACTTGATGGTTGACTTCCAGTTGGTTTTGTGCATGATCTCTTTGTAGTCTGACTCTCCTCGAATCCTCAATATACTCCCACTGGATAGGATCACGATACACATCACTCTCTTGACACTTTCTACTCTTCTTAACTCTCCTCTTTGACTTGTACTTCACCGACAATGGACACATTGAAGTTGTGGATGAATGTGTTAGATCGCAAACTTTTTTCTTCAACAGCTCTAACCAACAATATCCAAAGTACTGAAATATCTCTTCAACTCTTCACACTCTTCTTCTAAATCTCATATTGTATTACTCTCATCATGATTTACCTCATGTTTTGCAATGTGCAATTTTATCCATAATACATGAATTGAGTCTAAAGGAACATGGTTGTCGAGAATTCGGAAACTTGTAAGCTAACACGTACACGGTAACCCATGTGTTGTTCTAATGAAGCAACCACATATATTTTGGCTTTAACCAACAAATTTTACCCTTTTTAGTTCCATTTCAATGGGTTGTATACATTGTCTTGAGACAAAACCGTGTAACTTAGCATATAATGGAGTGTTATACTGATGCTCAATATTGACAATAATTTTTTGAAACGACACTTTGATGGAACCTAGCTACAACTTCAACATGGTGTTCACAACACCCCAACTTGTAGTCAACATGCTTTTTAGTCTCCAATAAGCAGACTCTACCCTAAAATTCATAAATAGAAAAACATGTTTCGAGTTGTTTTTGAAACAAAAACATAAATAATAGGGTTAAATATGTTTTTGGTCCCTATAAATATCTCAAATTTCATTTTTAGTCCTTATTAAAATAATGACATGTTTTAGTCTCTAAAAAATTATTATGCGCATAGTTTTAGTCCATGTTGTTAAACCAATGTGTATTTTTGAATGATTATTTTGCAGATATGTTTAGAACGTTATAAAAAGTTTCTTGGAAAAAAAGAGATTAAAAATTTGATTTCTCAGTCGAGATTTTCATTATTTTCATCAATATCTTTTGAAATTTAAAAAAAAAATCATATTTAATTCTTCTCATTTTAAAAAATTCTAAAATTTGATAAAGAAACATTTTATAGTATTCTAAACACATATGAAAAATATTATTCAAAAATTTAAAAGTTTAAGGATAATTAAACAGTTTTTAAAATTTTAGAAAATAGCAGGGACTAAATCTGGATGAACAAAATTTTTTTATGGAACAAAATTTGTCATTTTTTTAATAGGGATTAAAAATGAAATTTGAGATATTTATAATGATCAAAAATATATTTAACCCTAAATAATAATAACATCAAACTGTCATGATTCGTGCACCTGTTTATTCTTGTGTTCCCTAAATGAGTGACTCTGTTAGTCCATGCAGGAACAAATATTTCTTTATAAGGTGTTAACCATGTTTCATTCACATACTTAATAAATAAAGGAATATCATCACAAACACTTTCAAAGTGCTTGAAGTGTACATCAAACTCATGTTCTATATTTGAATACATGATATTGTTCCATTGATTCATGACATGTTCTTGTCTTTCTGATTTCACGTGCTATTTACATTTCATGCTCACGTTTTTTGAAACATGGAACGTACACAACAAATGACTCTTTCAGCATCTTCGGTGCTCATCAATGCAAGTTCTCGGTATGTCACCACAACCTTCGGTAGCAATTTCTCTAAAGAGAATAACTCTTTCAGTATCTCTGGTGCCCATTTGAAATTCTCCTCTCTTTCATGTTCCAAATAGGCAAAGGCAACTGAAAACGTCAACTTCGTTGACATAACACCAATAATCTCAAACAGTGATATCTGATACATGCACGATTAAAATACATAATCAAACATCTATAACATATTTTAGGATGTGAATAATAGAGTTCTTATCTATTTGTCTTGTATGTGTAATCAAATATTAACACCAGATGAAACATATTCAACAACTTCACAAAATTAGGATGTATCTAGAAGATATAAGCTACAATGAGTTATCCATATTTCTTGTCCTACACATATATCTTCTCTCTTGATGAATAAGACTCAACAACATCTTCATTTTTCTCAATGCACCTCTCTTGCCTGCTCGGCATGTAGCTCTAGCTTTATAAGCCTGACACACTCATGAGGTTTTCTGGATCTTTGTCTTTCAAAGCAGAAATTATATACCGATGAGTCATATTGTACTTCGTCATATCATTCACAAACTTTCTTTCATAATCTTTTAGACGGCCCAATATGATATGCCCTTCCAAATCTTTATCTAGTCTATGATTGTGCATCCCGCATCTAACCACCACCTTCCAACCGATACCACTTGGAACAGATCTCAGCCTAAACAGACATTTAAGCTATAAATTTCATCAGAAGAATTAGTGGTTTCAGATGTATTTTTTTGTAATTTCTTCCTCTTTCACAACCCATAATTAATTTATTCTTCCTCCCTCACATTCCATTAGCAGAATCTTGTAAATTTCCGGTAAATTTCTTAAGTTTCTTGGTATCCTCTGAAAATTTTGAAATTTTTGATAAATTGTCCTAAAAATTTTGAAATGCCCGATAAATCGCCATCGGAAATTTTGGAAAACGCAAAGAATTTCTAATAAAACGCGCAATTTTGATACCCTAAATTTCGTTATGCGAACTGGAAATTTTGATTTTCACCCTTACATCAATAGTAATTATTTTTACAAATATAATTTTTTTGAGGTAAATATTAAAAGGGGCATTTTTGATATTTAAAAAATTAGGATGGTGTCGGATATAATATAGGAGTGACAGGTAAAATGTTTAAAAAAATCCTTAAAAAAATAGACTCTAATTTTAAAGCTTAAACCCTATAATTTTTCGGGCTTGACAAGCTAACTCATGAGTTAATCCATTTTAACGACTCTACGTAGAGACATTTCCGAATTCGTTTTCCACTACTTAGGGTGAAAAAAGTAACTTCGTTTTCAAAAGTAGCTTCATCTTTTAATCAGTCAAAGCCAAAACTATAATATAAACCAAGAAAAGCCCAAATTATTATATTGGGGGACCAACTTTACCTACCACTTCATTTCTTTAAAACCTCACATGATTACAAAAAATTGACAACACAAAAAACAACGACCAACACCTAAATGCATTTTGCATTTATCTGAGCGCGTTTGGGGTTGTTCTTCACTTAAAATACTCTTATTGCGGTTATAACTACTTGATTTAAGAAAATTATAACTAGTTATAAACATTTTAAGTGAATGCACCAAACTTAAGAATATGCTCATAAGTAAGTGCACCAAACTTAAGAATATGCTCCCAAGTTTTGTTTAAGAATAAATCGAACAAAACTGATTTTCTAATAAAAAATCAACAATGCAAATCACTTGCATGTTAAAATATTCCATTTTTCTAGTCAAATCAAACTACTTGTTCAAACTATTCTAATCCAAACATGCCCTATATATAGTGAAAATATCACAACAGTATAATTTTATAAATGTACATGTGTTACAATTACATTCACTTTTGGTATTTTTTAAGCTCATAAGTTAGTGTCATTAAGCTCTTCATCCTCATCCGTGAGCAAGTCACCGCCACCATCACCATCTTCAAATGATTCTCGATCCTTAAGAAAGTATTCATCCTTCAAGTGCTTATAATCCTTCCCCCTCCAAATGACAATCTGTTCTTTATCAAAAGTCACCAGAATGCAAGGGACTAGGTCCTGCATCAATACACAAGATAGTTGAAAAACAGCAACTTAGAGCACCAAGCCCTGCGAAACAGAACTTGAAAACCAGAAATCATGTATGTCTTAAAAAATTGGAAAGCTAGAACAGAATGCCACCATTGCTCTATTGCGATTACTACTATTATCATTATTTACTTCACATTACTAAAAGGGTATGCTAAACTTCACCCCCTTAGTTTGAGTCACTCATCATGTGTCATATAATTTGACATATTTTCCTCAAAAAGCAAAAGAGATTTGGCTTTACCCTAAGTTTGCAGCCTATTTTCTTGTAATCACTCCTCTCGAGACCCTGGCAGTCTATCCGAACCAATTCACACGCGAGGAAAGCATCTCTGACCATGGATACCAAATGGGCATAATAGCCATTTTTTGCTGCAATTCAGTTACAAGTCAATAACATTTAATAACGTAAATTCGCAACTGAAATAATTATAGTAACTATAACCAGCATACCAAGTTTTGTTAAAGCGGGAACAGCCAATCCTCTCTTCCTCATTGCTTTTGTTTCCTCAATACTTAAGCCGTCAATTGCTGTCTTAATCAATCTCGGATATACAGGCTCATGAGGTTTCCACAACATGATAGGAATTACAGGCCTCTTTCTCGGATTATAATTCCTACCTCTGTATAATATAAGTGTACCTCCGTGTCTGAAAATGACCTTTCCAAATGTCTTGTCCTGCAACAAGAACACGGGAATCGCTTATGCTTGTGTTATTGGATGGGTTGAGTTTAGACAAAAGAATGATACATAAATCCAAAAAGGTAGTCCACAGTTAGACGTGAAAGAATCGAAAAGAGTATAAATAGTTGGTACTCGGTGTAAACCTCAAGCTGCGCGCAAATATTTTTCATATCGACAGTAGGAACACCCATGCATTTGATCCTAACAGCTTCCGTATATTTCCAATGGTTATGAATTTCAATCAACATGTTGTGAGTTAAACCATCCCGCCCTGCAACCAAATCAAAGTCAATCATGAACAGAGTTACAAACCTCACATAAACACACACACACGCATGCACACTAAGGATCCCCACTTTATTTTGAAATGATAAAAGTTGACCAACTATTACATATGAAGCACGAACAGATACACAACACTAACACTTGAACACCGATAATAATTTGAAAAAATGAATAAATTAAACATAATCACAAGTGTCGGTGTCGTGTCGGTGGTCGACACAAACACAGACACTCCTTTTTTCAGAGGTGTCAGTGCTATAGAGATTATTATAATCAGCACTTTAACAGAAAGGTCGACAAGGACTACAATCATGATATAGGGGGGCAATATCAACGATTTTGATGTGTTTACAACCACAACTAAGACCACGTTAGCTACAATTTGATCAAATTTCTCTCGAATGTCAAGAATCACAATGCAACAACAATTCGAAACATTGATTACAAATAGTTATTAAACAGATTGAAACATTAACATAAAAGCAACATACTTTCAAAGCATTACTGGCATAAGTACTTCTGAGATTGATTGAGAGAACTTATAAAAACAGCTTATGACAACAAGTATATAAGCAATTATATGATAAGTGCTTAATTAATCTGCTTATCCCGAAAAAGAACAAAGTTGTTAAATTTTTTGTTACCCATATTAACTTGGCGCTTAGTTTTCCCTCTTTCACATTGCAAAACTAGGGCTTTCCTTTCAGCATTGGTAAGGGAATCCCCTTGAACATACTCTCTCTTCTTCTTCCTCTCCTCTTCCAACTTCGGGTCTTCATCTCCATCTAACTCCTTCACCTTTGGATCCACCGCCGGTGCGCAAACCCCGGTCCACGGCCGGTCGATCCGGTCCGGTCCAAACGGAGAGTATTTCGGTTCTCGAAGTCCGATTGGCCTCACCGTTTGGCTGCTCTCCGTGTAACTGAACCGGAAATCGAAAGGTAGGCTCGAACGAATCGGTTTTTTACCGGTTCGATCGAGGGATGACGGCGGTTGGTATCTGGGTTTGGTTTTTTTTCTGTGGGGTTTAGTTGGTGGTTCATTGGGGTTTTGAGAAGAGGATGAGAGGGAAGGTGGTGGTTCGAAAGTGTAACGTTCGTGGAGTTTGGATGCGGTGGCGGTGGCGGCGGAGGAGAGGTGGCGCGTAAGGAAGAGCGCGGTGGATGAGTTTTGGCGGGTGATGTGTTTGAAGAGGGACATTAGGGTTTAAGGTTGCACGTGCTGTTTGCAAAAGTTGCTTCAAACTTTTTAATGAGCAAAAGAAATATCAACATGATATCCTCTACACTCAAACCTAAAACCTTTAATTAGGAGAGATCAAATCCCTTACCATCTAGCATCACATCCAAGTGTTGTTATAAAAACTAAATAGAAAATAATTTAATTAATATTTAATTTCCTAATGAGTGTTTAATTTGGATTTAGCTTGAAGTTAAGCTTATTATTAAGCCAAAATAATCAGTAAATTGTACGGCTAAAACGCTTGCATTGGAATTCAAGGAATAGGGTATTCATAATGTGAAGTGCTCTTTGTTTTAAAGCAATATCTCTACTATACTTGATAGTAATGTGATTGATGTGTTGTTTTGAAAGTTGCAACATTAAAACTTCTATAATTCTTCTACTTGTCATCAACATTTCTTGCTACTCAATCTTTCATATGCAACATTTGATAACTTTCAAAATACTATATAAACTTCTTCTTAGGTTCTTATTTTATTGCCATTTTAAAATCACTACTAAATATGGTTTTACAGAAACATACCAAATTGTTTCCTTTTCTTTGCCTTCAATTGTTTCTACTCGTCTCGCTAAGCATTGGTTCTTCGGTTCATGGAGTTGATCAAAAGGCATTGAATTTCTTCCTCCATTTTCATTCCATATTAGCTTAAGAATTAAGATTTACTTTTAGTTTTCTATATGAACTTTGCCATATCACCTGCCTTGTCTACAGAACTTTTACATTGTTTTCTTGGGAGCGAAACCTATAAGCCGAGACGTTGCGATTAAGACTCATTTAAATGTTCTATCTTCTGTCAAGGGAAGGTAACCTTGTTAACTCAGTCAAACATTTCTTTCTCTGTTATTCTTTTTGATGAAGCCATTTGTATTTTTCTTTCTTTTTTTACTTAGCTATCGTGAAGCCGAAGAGTCCATTGTATATAGTTACACTGAGAGCTTCAACGCATTTGCTGCAAAACTGTCTCAACATGAAGCCGAAAAGTTATCTGGTATGAATCATTTTTCTCTAGCTTCGGTATTTGTTTGAACGATATATATATATTGTTGCCTTTTCAAATTATTTTTCGTATGTATTATAGACATGAATGAAGTTGTTTTGGTGTTTAAAAATCGGTATCGTAAGCTACACACAACAAGATCGTGGAACTTCATTGGTTTGCCTCTCACTGCTAAGAGAAGATTGAAATTAGAACGCGACATCGTTGTTGGTCTTTTGGACACAGGTTTATCCTAGCTTCATTTTCTTCTATGGATATTCTAGTACTTAAATATGAGAATAATACAATATTTGTACAAACGGTACTTTACTTCAAAAATTGCGCGTAGGGATCACGCCGGAGTCAAAAAGCTTCAAAGATGATGGATTAGGTCCTCCACCAGCAAGATGGAAAGGAACTTGTGGCCACTATGCTAATTTCTCAGGCTGCAACAAGTAAATTGTCTTTGTTTCTTGGTGAATAAGTTACCAATTTTACATAAAGAATCTTAACATGTTAACAAAAAGATTAGATCTATAAAACTCAGAACTAAAGGGTGATTCTGAATTCAAATATACATAGTATTGTATTGATCGATTGATTCTGAATTCAAATATACATAGTATTGTATTGATCGATCGATCAGCCATATTTTTATCATAAACTATTTAGTTCCTAATGTATTCTTTCTGCACGAAAACTCTTAATGGAAAACCTGAAGCAAGATCATAGGAGCCAAATACTTCAAGGCTGATAAAAACCCTGATCCATCCGACATATTATCACCGATAGACGTTGACGGTCACGGAACTCACACTGCATCAACAGCAGCAGGTGATTTAGTGCCAAATGCAAGTCTCTTTGGATTGGCCAATGGAACTTCGCACGGTGCCGTGCCATCAGCTAGGTTGGCAATTTACAAAGTCTGTTGGTCATCAAGTGGATGTGCAGACATGGACATACTTGCTGCATTTGATGCTGCTATACATGATGGTGTCGATGTCATATCAATTTCCATAGGCGGAGGAAGTTTTGATTATGTTCATGACCCTATATCAATCGGCGCGTTTCATGCCATGAGGAAAGGTATAATCACCGTTGCATCAGCTGGAAATGATGGTCCAAGTATGGCAACTGTGACAAACACTGCACCATGGATTGTCACAGTAGCTGCTAGCGGCATCGATAGAACTTTCAAGAGCACTGTACAATTGGGGAGCGGAAAAAATGTTTCTGTAAGTTTAGTTCTTGGACTAAATATGATTAATAAAACAAAATTTGAGATAGTTAGTCTATGAAGCACAGACACAGACACCAAACAGGACAATGAGCATAGACACAGACATATGGTTAAGATGTTTTTCATGATGAATTTAACATATGTGTGCATTCAACTATGTTGATATGCAGGGAATAGGAATTAGTTGTTTCAATCCAAAACAAAACCAGTACACTATTATTAACGGGATTGATGCTGCGAAAGACTCGAAAAGCAAGGAAGATGCCAAGTAATTTTCCTTATGTTTTCCATAATAACACCTTGTTAACTGTTGAAAAATAACAAAGAACAATTTAATGCAATTTTCAGATCATGCTTCTCAGGCTCCTTACAGGAAGATAAGGTGAAGGGAAAGCTTGTTTACTGCGTAGGATCATGGGGGACTGAAGCTAATGTGAGAGAAATCGGAGGCATTGGCGCTGTAATAGAATACGACAGTTATCCCGACGTTGCTCAAATTTCCATGGCTCCTGCTACTATTGTCAACCATAGCATAGGTGAAACTGTTACCAATTATATCAAATCCACAAGGTACAAAAACATGCTCTTGATTGTTCTTTTAATAACAGCTTATGATATGTCCATAAACTTTCTAAAATAGCTTATGAGAAGAGCTTATGAATTTCTTGTTCAACTAAGATCGCCATCGGCAGTAATATACAAGAGTCGTGAAGAAAAAGTGCAAGCTCCATTTACTGCTACATTCTCATCTCGAGGACCGAATCCAGGATCCAAACATATCCTCAAGGTACTAACTAATATATAATTGCAAGTTATCGAACTTTTTATATAATCGAAACCATAGTATTTAATGAAGTTATACGATGCAGCCTGACTTAGCAGCTCCTGGAATCGACATCTTAGCGTCTTATACTCTTAGAAAATCACTCACTGGTTTGACAGGAGATAAACAATTTTCAGAATTTTCTATAATATCCGGAACTTCCATGGCATGTCCGCATGTAGCCGGAGTAGCAGCATATGTGAAGTCATTTCATCCCAATTGGACTCCTGCTGCAATCAGATCCGCTATTATCACGACCGGTGAGATTAACGTTTTTGTTTCTTATACTCACAATTCGCGCAACTCTGACACGACTAACTTGTTTAAACAATCTTTGTGAAGCGAAACCTATGAGTAAAAGAATTAACAACGAAGCAGAATTTGCGTTTGGTTCTGGTCAACTAAACCCAACAAGAGCAGTTTCTCCTGGTCTAATCTACGACATGGATGACTTCGGTTATATCCAATTTCTGTGCCACGAAGGTTACAAAGATTCAAGTTTATCGGCCCTAGTTGGTTCTCGTATAAATTGTTCGTCTATACTTCCTGGACTTGGCCATGATGCTATAAACTATCCAACCATGCAACTTAGCTTGGAAAGCAAGAAACACGCAACCGTTTTTAGAAGAACGGTTACGAATGTAGGTCCTGTTCCGATTATCTACAACTCTACTATTAGATCGCCAAAAGGAGTTGAAATCACAGTGAAGCCTAGTTTTCTTAGTTTTGATACAAAGATGCACAAGAGGAGCTTTGAAGTGGTTGTGAAAGTAAAATCTATTGCAAGTATGGAGATTCTATCAGCTTCACTTATATGGAGAAGTCCACGTTACATTGTTAGAAGTCCTATAGTTATTTACAAGCCATAAAGTTGTATTTGCATAGTTTTGAAAAATGTTTTCATTTTCTATATTGCGTGAAAAAAATGATGTTGAATATTTTTTAAGTGAAAAAAAGCATAAACCCAATAACTTAACGTTTTGGTTAATATATAATTTTAAAATTTTATTTTATGTTTAATTCTTGTGTTTGAGTCTCGTCAAATCATCACTATTTATAGATGTTATTCGTACCTCATTCACAATAACACATTTTCTTTATAAATGTTATTCATGCTCATTCATAATAATATATTTTCACTTTATTTTGAATAACACGTTTTCATTTTATTTGAATAATACCACTTCATATTAATTGAATGACAAAATTATATTAGGAGTCCTTTATTTTTTTAACAACTTGGTACTTTAAGTTATGAAACGTACGCATCATTACTCTTTTTCTAATAGAATGAAAGTGTTAATTGTGAATGCAATTATTTTGAGTGTTATGAAAATGATTAAGTACAACTAAAAATACAATAATCACAAATTTCTAAATATCTAAAACAGGATCGACCTAAACAATTGAGAGGCTCAAATCTAATATTTTAAATAGACTTCTTATAAAATAAAATATAAAATATATATTAATATTTCTCTTTAAAATATATATAAAGATTTTATTAGGAGTTATTAGCCTGAAAGAAATTAAATTTGGGACAAAATTACAAAATTTTATAAATATTATATTAGATTAAATTATTTAAACAAACTTTTAAATGTAATAATTTATTTAATCATAATGACTTAATTAAAATTAATAATACATTTATTAATTTTGTAATATATTATTGTAAAATAAAATATAAGAAAAGAATTTTTAATAATAATATATATTTTTATTGAAAACAAAAGAAAATAATAATAAAACAAAGCTCATTGTGTATAATATATCTCATTTGAAAAGATGGTAAAATAAGAGAAGTTAAAAGTTATGAAGCATAGACTCCGACACGGACACTGTGACATGACACGACCGCAGACACTCCGACACCGATATGTCAAAAATCTAAGACATCGTCACCGCTATATAGATTATAATATTTGAGTTTTATTTATTCATCTAATATCAAAAGAGTTAAAAGTATTCTAATCAAAATTAATGTCTTTTAATTCTTCATTGATAACATTGTTTTAATACATGTTTAATCCTTTTAATCGTGCGTGAGATTTGTCTAGAAAATGTATAGTGTATTGAGGAAAAGAAAAACACAATTTTTTAAAGAAAACTTGTCTGAAATATCAAACACATGTTGTATGAATGTCACATGAATATCGAACACCGATTAAAAATATGTTGAAGTAAAGAAAAAGAACAATTTTCTTGGGGACACTTGTCTGACTTTTCCGACACTTGTTTGACTTTTCAGACACGTGTTGTAGAGTTAAGTTTCAGCAAGTTTATGTTTTGATGATTACAGACATCACGATCAAGACAAAAGGCATTATCAAAAAGAAGAAGAAAAAGTATCTACTCAAAATGGACTTTTGGCTTGCATTCTAAGTTACTCCTAAAAAAGACTTTGGTATTTGATCTTCATTGTGGTACAAGACTCCAATTCAATATAGTATGTTACTATAGTGTTTAAAATATGTCTAACATTATGCGTACATGTTTCATGACTTTTAATATCACTAGCATTACATTTCCAAGCCATTAAAAATGTTATTTCACTTTTTCATATAGTGGTAACCGGTTACAGGTTTCTGATAACCGATTACAGGCTTCAGCATTTCAAAAATTATAATGTTACCTACATGGGTAACCAGTTACTGCATTCTGGTAACCGGTTACCGCTAAAACGAATTTGAAAAACAAGATTATTTTGAATGTTGTTTGTTTGTTGCATTTGTCTATGAACTATTGTGCTTCTACATTCATTTAGAACCTTTTGAAAGGGTCCAATACATGTATATAATTCAAATATTTCTGAAGTACAAAAACACACAAAATAACAACAATCACAACATACAATTCAACATTTTGTTTCTCATTATCAAACAAGTGCATGGATTAATATTTTGCATGAAACTTTTACTCTTACATTTTCAAATACATCATTAGAAAAGTTTCATCATATGCAATGAGCACTTGTGTAATATATTCATTGAATTATTATCTTGAAAGAGAAGAGATCAATACTTTGTATTGATATTATCTACTTCAAGAAGTTATTTCTAATCATTTTTCAAAGTGATTGTGGTATAACCTTGTTGTCCAGGATTGTTGGAAGCAAGAGAGTATTAAGGGGAGATTGTTCTCTTTTTACTTTGTATTGGTTATCTTGTTTTCAGGATTGTTGGAAACAAGTGTGTACATTAAAGAGGATTGTTCTTCATGTACTTGGTTGGATCTTAAAGGATAGTTAAAGTCTTTGATCTCCCTATAGGTTAGATAGTAAGCATCACATTTAGATGTGGATAGTCTGTACGATAATTCTAATATAGTGAAATCTCTTATATGTTGGTAAGGGGACTGGAGTACTCTCAAAGTGTGAGGGGAACCAGTATAAATCTCTTGTGTTCTTTACTTTCTGTATTTACTGTTTTCATATTCATACACAAACAAGAAAATAAGAACATCATCACATAAAAGAATAAAAATCTACAATCCACTTTATTAGATATGTAAATATAGAAAGATTATTATTAGTATTGATTACCAATGATTATTAGAATCATAACCACATATTTGTACTGTGTATATAAATGACTATCACATGAATGAAAAGCACGGCCTAAATTATCTTACATGGTATCAATCTTGGTTTGTTCCAAACCCTAAAATCAGTCGTAAACCTTCTTCCTTTCTATCCCTCATTCTTTTTCTCTTCAACTACCGCGAAACAGCCATGACTACCACTTCTGATTCCTCTAACAACAACTCTTCCCCGAAATCATCCGATCATACCGACCCTCCTCCACCACCTACCACTCCTACACCGATTCACCCTGCTCTCACTGTCCCAAATATTACTAATTTCATCAAGATTACTCTGAGCATTGAAAAGGGCACGTATAACACGTGGTCAAAACTTTTCAAAATTCATGCTCGAGTTTTTCAAGTAATTGACCATATCAATCCCTCTGAACCAGCCGCAGATCCCTCTCTCAAAACTACCGATCCACAGTTATGGCTTCGTCTCGACGCCGTCGTTTTGCAGTGGGTATATGGAACAATCTCCGATGATCTTCTCAACACTATCATCGAACATAATTCCACCGCTGAAATCGCGTGGAATCGCTTATTTGACATCTTTTATGATAACAAGAATTCTAGGGCTCTCTACCTAGAGCAAGAATTTTCGCAAAATCATATGGAGCAATTCTCTGATGCTTCCTCCTACTGTCAGCATCTCAAATCTCTCTCTGATCAACTCGCTAATGTTGGTGCCCCTGTATCGAATGAACGTTTAGTTCTTCAACTCATTTCGGGACTAACCGATGCATATGCTACTGTGGGATCTCAAATTCGTCATGCTGATTCACTTCCTCAGTTCTATAAAGCTCGTTCCATGATCATTTTGGAAGAAACAGCACTGCAGAAAAAGGTGTCAAGCTCAGTCGAAAATTCATCTTTCATGGCGTCTCACAATAACGCATCAGTTAATTCATCGGCATCCCGTCCTAACCGCGGTAACAACAGTAACCACAATTGTGGTGGCCGAAACAATGGCAGAGGACAGCGTGGACGAGGCCGAGGGCGAAACAATGGACGTGGCGGAGGTCGTGCTCCGCAACAGCAATGGCCTTCACCATATTACCCGCATCAGCAGTGGGCTTATCCGCCATACCCAAATCAATATCAACAATGGAGCTCCCCGCCATGGCAACCATGGGCTACACCACCTTGTCCGTATCCAACAGCAAGAAATCCAAAGGAACAACCCGGCATCCTTGGTCCCAAGCCATCTCATCAAGCTTATGTCGCCAACACAGCGCCAACCTCCTCATATGCTCCAAATCAAGCTTATGTCGCCAACACAGCGCTAACCTCCTCATATGCTCCAACAGATATTCAAGCTTCCATGCATACTCTCTCACTTTCTACTCCTGATGATCAGTGGTACATGGACACCGGAGCAACCTCGCATATGACGGCCAACGGAGGTAATCTCTCGTCCTATTTCAATATGAGTAATAATATTACTGTCGATAGTGGTCAAAATATTCCTGTAATTGGTTGTGGACATGCATCATTACCAAATTCCCTTCATTTACTAAAATTACCTAATGTTTTACATGCACCAAAACTCATAAAAAATCTTATCTCTGTTTGTAAATTTACCATAGATAATGATGTGTCGGTTGAATTTGATCCTTTTAGTTTTTCTGTGAAGGATTTTCAGACAGGAATACTGTTAATGAGATGTAACAGTTCTGGTGACCTCTATCCCATTGCCACAAGACCACCTAATAAAACCTTACCACCATCCACCTTTGCCGCAATATCCACAGAATTATGGCACAACCGTTTAGGACATCCAGGAGCTACTATCTTAAGTTCTCTACACAGAGACAACTTTCTCCAATGTAATAAGTCTCGGAACAATTACTTTTGTAATTCATGCCCTCTTGGAAAACAAATAAAATTTCCCTTTTATAGCTCTGTGTCTCGTGCTTTTATGCCTTTTGATATTGTGCACAGCGACCTCTGGACTTCACCAATTCTTAGTTCAGAAGGTCATCATTACTATGTGTTATTTCTTGACGATTACACAAATTTTTTATGGACTTTTCCAATTCATACAAAATCTCAGGTTCATTCCATTTTTCTTCAATTTAGAACTCACATTGAAACACAATTTGAAAGAAAAATTAAATGTTTCCAATGTGACAATGGTAAAGAATATGATAACACTATGTTTCATAATTTTTGTAAAAAAAATGGAATATCTTTTAGATTTTCGTGTCCTCACACCTCCTCACAAAATGGAAAAGCCGAAAGAAAAATTCGTACCATAAATAACATCATCCGTACCCTTCTC